TGGGATTTAGTGAAAAGATGGATGGTAGTCACTTAGGCCTATGACAGAATAGAGCCATCTGTCCCACTGGAATAACATGGACCTCCTACGTAACTCTCCAAGTTAAAATTTTTTAAGTAAACAAATAGGTTAAGTTATGTATTCAGAAATTGCTTTGGGGAAATTGTGAGGTAAACTAAACTTGCCTTAGCAGCCCTCCAATTACCCTTTTAGCATTCTTTTTCCTCTTCCTTCTCTCCTCTAATGCCTTAATGATACCCCTTATGTCAGCAGGTCTCTTATTCACTACCAGACATAAACCTGGCTCCCAAGCAGTGCCCCAGTCCTTAAAGCATGATTTCCCCTTTCCCAAAACAGGCTGTGTTGTGTTCCATTCCCTGGGGACCTATACTCAGCTAGCTATAGTGAGTAGGACAGGGATGGTGAGGAAAACTCTATACTTCTGTTAAGATGTAATAACTAAGAATAGCTAACAGTTTTATTATTTTAACAGAAAAATCATGGAATATAATATTTAATTCCAAGATAATGACTCTGTAGGTTGAACTTGCAGCACTATTACACTGCTGGAGCAGAAGGCAGAGGGAGCCTTTCCCAGGAACCCTCAAGTCACCTCATGTAGCCATCTGCCTATGGACAAAATCATCATTCATATAAGTTAATGATATATGAATGTCACAAATAAGGCTCCCTGCCTTTTATAGGAAAGTAATAAAAGATGCAGAATATTATTACTTTTATTCTTATTGTGGGAAAGAAAGGAAGAAAGAAAGAAATGAAATTTTTAAAACAAATATTATTTTACTGGCTTTTAAGGCTATAATAAGTAAAAATTTCTGTATGTTTTGGAGTGAAGATTATACAACTTGTACACTTTCTTGAAATTGCATAAGAGAAACTTGAAAGGAATAGAAGAATGATCATTTTTAAAACTCAGCTAGTAGATATATACTGTATTTTGAAAAACATGATATATATTCCATAATAGTTATACCAGTATAAATTTTAAGCATTTTATTATGATAAATGTAATATCTGTAATAAAAATTGATTGTTAACTAAATAGAGAACTAGGTACTCACCCAAAGTCTGGGTCAGCTCTACAAATTCAACCTATGCTCAAGTGAAACAGATTAAGTAATGGGTTAGACTTTGAAGAAATGGGTTTTGGCTAGTTGATACGTATTGTTTTTGTTTAATTCTGTCTGCCCCCACTATTACCATATACTACTCAAGGTGATAAAGTTATTCCCTTGACATTTTTTTAAACTGCCATTCAGGAGTACTTTAAATTCAGGAATATACAAAAGTATTTGTACACAAAGGTATTCCTGAATTTAAAGTACTCCTGAATGGCAGTTAAAAAAAACACACATATTTATACACACACACATATATATACACATACATACACACACGTGTATGTATGTATAATTTTCAAAACTTGATACTCATTCCTAGAACCAATTATTAGATTTGCTGTTAATGTTACCAGAAAGGTTCTTCTCTCTGCTCTCTGTTCTCTGGTTTTTACCAGTTATCTTACATACAACCTTTCCCCCCAGTCTCTGCAGTCCACGTTGACCTTATCTTACTTTGGCCTTCTTACATATACACTTTTTGTCTTATTCAAAGTTATCCTGGTTCATTGTATTCTCTAGTTATCACATATATGCTTTTTTTCACTAATAGGAGCAGTAAGCTCCTTGAAAGTAAGAACTGTTTTCTTCATTGTAATTCTACCTGACAAGCACAGTGTTAGGCATGTAATAGATGTTCAATAAATTAAAAACTTACCGAATTGAACTTTTTAATGTTCAATTTTAACTTTTTAACTTTAAACCATCAATTCAACCTATCTTGGAATATATTTTTAGTATATTTTTGACTAAAATGTTAGATTTTTTTTCTCTCCAGGTCCGTAAACTGCAGCAAAAAGTTCAAAACTCAAAGATGAGTGAAGCTTCAGGTATTCAGCAAGAAGACAGCAACCGTAAAGGATCAAAGAACATAAAAAATAGCCCCAGAAAATGTTTGACTGACACTAAACTTTTTCAGAAAAACAGCAGCTTTCATCCAATACGAGTTCATAATCTTCAAATGAAATTGAGAAGAGATGATATCATGTGGGAACAGTAACAAAATAGCAAAACTGTCACCTTAATGAACTTTGTCAATGAGACCTTGAATTGTCTAAAGTGGTTTTAATTTAATATAACTTTGTGACATTTTGAATCATGTTTCTAGCTTCTATAAGACATGAAGTTGCAGTATTTTTAAATTAATGCCTAATGACCTACTGGGTTCCAAATAATAAATTAATTGCTTTTTTGTTTTTCTTATTGATTGAAGCCTATAACCTCATCTTGCCTTAGAAACATTGTTTGCTTTGCAGATATCTTAAACTAAATTTGAGAAATTGTACTAGATTGACAATATTCAAAATTGAGTTAAATCTGAGCTACAAGTACCATTCATTCCACTTTTCATAGGTTTGTAACCTTAAAAACAAATGTTAAATGAACAGAGTTCAGAAAGATCATTTAGCTTTCCTGGTGTCTTCTTTCTGTTTTGTTTTAGAGCTGTGAAATGTTTTTCTCTTTTGGAAAAGGAAAAGCTTAACAATTAGACAGTTTTATGAAGAAGCCTTTAATCCAAGTTTTATGAGACAATAGGAACCCATAGCTACTTAATTTTTAGGAGACAGTAATTCAGTTGCAGAAGTTTTCATCTGCTATTCCCATTCTCTTTTACAAAACTAGTTTTTTTAAAAAAAAATAATGATCCATTTTATCTTACTACTTTATAACTTTTGCTGACTTCTATTCTTTGCATTGTGTGTAATGTCCATCAGTATAAATTGAGACTGAATTTCTAGGACCCACAAAAGTGGTATTTTTTTTTTACAAGAAAGTATGGAGGAAGAGGAAGCTGGACATTAAATTACCTCATCCAGCAGAAATTCAGGGTAGTATGGTATATTTTAATTTTTTATATTTTAAAATCAATAATGTCAAAAAATGTCATTGTGTATGCATGCTTTGTAATAAATTTGCACTTGATCGTTTTTCTGGGCGCCTAGGGGAGCCAGTATGACTCTCCTGAACTCTTGGTTTCTCACTCAAATCCTCTGAAGCAGCTGGGGGACTAGAGTCATGAACTGAAGTAGAAATAGAGGACAGACAGAAAAGGTGTAATGGAATGGAGGAGCTCAAATATAGGGTAGCAGTTTAAGAGATGGTGATTCCTAAGGGACAGAGTTGGAAGTACGTATTTACTGAATTCTTTGAATCCACAGCTGATGGAGTGTTCAAGCTATAGATGTGAAAGAATTTTTAGGTCAGGATCTTGGGAAGCTAAGGAGAGCAATTTTTAAAAGACAGTTTGTCTGTTTTCCTAGGTAATTCCCAAGAAGCTTGTGTAGGAAAAAGTTGGTAATTATGGATCTTTTGGGGAGGAGGAGAACTATAATTCATTCTAATGGTGAGAAGAGATACCATGTTAGAAGACCTTCCATACCTGGAAGTGGGGCGGTGACTGAAGATGGGCACGTTGATACTTGGAATTGTCCTTGAAAGCAGTTAATGGCAGAGATCAAAATTTCCTCCTGGTGTAAATAGTGCATGTGCTCTTTGCCAACTTTCACCCTCCTCATTCACATCCTTAGCTCCTCAGCCCTGGAGATGTTCCATAGGGTGTTTGATCTAAACTCAGTTGTATCACCTTACCTGTTTTTCTACTTTGCCTTTCCTCCTTGAGGATATGAGTTTTATAGTTTAAGCTTAGCTTTGTGCTAAACTTCTTAGCTTTCTGCTATCCACCAGGACCATAATGCAGACCTATAGTTCTGTGGTTTTGTTTTCTATACATTGAGGAAGGTGGCTGAATATATTTAGTTATTAATAAAGTCATTACTTGTGAAGATGTATTGCTTTAAAAATTATCATTAAAAATTTAAAAACCGGCCAGGCACAGTGGCTGACACCTGTAATCCCAGTACTCTGGGAGGCCGAGGCAGGCGGATCACAAGGTCAGGAGATCGAGACCATCTGGGCCAACATGTGAAACCCCGTCTCTACTAAAATACAAAAATTAGCCGGGTGTGGTGGCACATGCCTGTAATCCCAGCTACTTGGGAGGCTGAGGCAGGGGAATCGCTTGAACCCGGGAGGTGGAGGTTGCAGTGAGCTGAGATCGCACAACTGTACTTCAGCCTGGTGACAGAGCAAGACTCCATCTCAAAAACAAAAACAAACAAACAAACAAAAACATTTTAGGAACATGGAATATTTCAATTGACAATTTTCTTAAAAATTAGTCCAGTGTAGTAGGAAAAAACCACGACTTCAGAGCTGGGAAACTTGGTTTCAAATTCTGGGACTCCAACATTTAATAGCTTGGACAAGTCAAATAACTTTCTGGAGCCTCAGTTTCTCATCTGTAAAGTGAGGATTATACTATTATATCTCTCACAGGACTATACTAATTTGTTGTGAGGAGTTAATGAAATAACATGGGAAAGCACTCAGCAGAAGAGTTGGCACTTATTAAAAACTCAATAAATATTTTTTGAATCTGAGTGGCCAAAAAAAAATGTAGAATACATGTTTGCATGGGTTGAAGCCTAAAAGCAAACACCTAAATATATTGTTGGTAAATGTGGGAATAGTCTCACTTATTTTGGTTTTTGTCTCTTCCTGTGTGCCTGAAGGGAAATGGCTTTGGCATCTTTCCTAGCACAGGTTTCTAATGGGAGGGGGTAAAGAACACAGTCCTATCATGGTGCTGAAATATATAACCACACACAGCAAATTGGTTTGGAGTATGGTGTGGTTGTTGAGGTGAAATTTATTATTGAGAGGCAATGAAGAATGGTGTCTTGTTGCTTCATCACAGCTACTGAGCTCACAGACTGCCTGCTTGCCAGAGCCTTTGACTCCTCCGGGTGGAGCAAAAGATTTCTTTCTTGGGTGGAGCAGTCTGTCTATGGTCAGTGTACAAGAGTTGCTATAGCAACCTCACAGCTGTGCTCTGTCTAGCAGAAACTCGGTATGATTTCACAGATTTTGTTCACTTAAGTAAAAAACAGAGTTGTTTGGTTTTTATGTAATTAGAAATTGAAATAATGGAATTGGAATTTTCTAGCCAAGGCAGGTCTCAATTTTGATGAAACTGAAGCCAGAAAGTTCTAGTGTTTGAAGCAGCAGGTATTGTGACTATATTCTGATACTGGAAATGGGAGTTGGAATCCTGAATAAGCTGTACTTGGGTAGATCATTGGCAACCCAGCTATTTCTATTAGGTTGTAGATAAAGACAGGAGGGTCAGAGGGAAATGTTCAGTTTTCAACAATGTAAGATTAAAGTGGGAGATACTTAGTACATAGTAAGCTAACTGGCTGGGATAATGTAGACAATGTAGTTTTTTTGGTGGCTTTCTTTATTCGTTTTTCTTTTTCTTTTTTTTTTTCTATACCTGCAGGTAGATGTGAGAGCTGTCTTACTTTAAAAGTATAATTTTAACTATAAATGTATACTCTTTTTTTCTTTCTTTCTTTCTTTTTTTTTTTGGTGGGGATGGAGTCTCGCTGTGTCGCCCAGGCTGGAGTGTAGTGGCACGATCTCAGCTCACTGCAACCTCCGCCTCCCAGGTTCAAGCGATTCTCCTGCCTCAGCCTCCCGAGTAGCTGGGATTACAGGCACCTGCCACTACACCCAGCTAATTTTTGTATTTTTAGTAGAGACGGGGTTTCACCGTGTTAGCCAGGATGGTCTCGATCTCCTGACCTCAGGTGATCTCCCCGCCTCAGCCTCCCAAAGTGCTGGGATTACACGCGTGAGCCACCGCACCCGGCCTAAATATGTATTCTTAATCCATGATAAGACATCAAAAATTAAATTAAAATTTTACTTGTAATGTGAGAAATCAATCTAAGGGGGGAAGAGGCCGGTTGGTTATGCACAATGGAAAGCGTGTGTATTGTGGACAGAAATGCAACAGCTGCCATTATTGGTGTAGAGTAAATAGTGAAACTCCTAATGGGGTTTCCTGGAACTCTATTCAGCTGTAACTAAAGCTTTACCTACTGAGAACATTTAATTGTAGGTGATGTTTAGATAAGTAGAAGCCGACTCTCAGACATATGACAAGACAACCCTCACTAAGGCATAATAGCAACTGTGAGATTTTTAAAAAACTCTTTAGTGCTATTGCACCTTTTAATTAAATGAGATGAGGATAAATAAAAGTAATATTGACTGTCACTCATCTGAAAATAAATTTAGTTATTGGTAATTAAATAAACCTTATCAATGCCTCAGCCTTTTTCTTCATATTCCATCTACTTGTTTTCATGTAACTTTCTCTTTCAATTCGTTTTTTGTTTTTTTTTCATGTAAGGAGAATTAGACATAGAAAAATTATAAATTTAAGACTTAAAATAATGTCTGGGCCAGAGTTTGTTGTTACTTTTGCTGTAGATTGTTTTCTTAAGGAATTAGGTGAATTTTTTTTTTTCCTGGTAGGTTTATTGGGTGTGTTCTCATTATTGATAAAGATGGATCCAGTTTCCATTTGGGGCTGAGCTCTGTGGCTTGTGCCTGAAATCCCAGCACTTTGAGAGGCTGAGGCAGGCGGATCACCTGAGGTCAGGAGTTCAACACCAGCCTGGCCAACGTAGTGAAACCCTGTCTCTACTGAAAATACAAAAAACATTAGCTGGGCGTGGTGGCATGCAGTCCAGCTACTCGGGAGGCTGAGGCAGAATAATTGCTTGAACCTGGGAGGCGGAGGTTGCAGTGAGCCGAGATCGTGCCACTGCACTCCAGCATGGGCAACAGAGTGAGACTCTGCCTCAAAGCAAAAAAAAAAAAAAGGAATAGCCCAGTATTGTTTGTTTGGGGAGGGGCAGGGTGTGGTTCCACCAACAGTGGGCACCAGAATGGTGCTTGCTTTGATACTATGCTAAGAGGAAGAGGTTTGAGAGCCAAGAGTCCTTTATTTGGATATTGGTATCCAATAAATAAAACTTGTTCATCAGTACGTATTTATTGATCTCTAATTATTGATCTCAGAATACTGTACTAGCTACTATGGAATTCTGTTTTCAAGTTGCTTATAGTCTTGAGGAGAGATAAGACATATATATTTAAAAGGAAGAAAACAGTAAGTGACATGAAAGGCATAATGACTACCACAGCGGATGCTCAATAAATATTTGCCTACTAAATATTTGTTCTCGTCTACTGATAAAGTGCTTTAGAAGTTGGCCTGTTTGTAATTTCTTCATTTTCTAACTATCTTGATTTATATACCTTCACCTTTTTAAATTTTTTGCTTGGTAGCAGTATTGGTCTAGGATTTTCACTCTTTATTAAGCTTCTTGATTGAAAATACCAGTTCCTTTAGTAATTTCAAACATATGCTGGCCATAGCCAGTCTGTAATCAAATTCAAAGGCATAAGTGGAAACAGTGGGTATGAAACAATGAGGTAAGTGGAGACATGGGGGAAAATCAAGCAATAATGACTTAGACTAAAACAGAACAATAAGAATTATACAGAAAGGTTATATTCTAGAGGCCAACTATTGACTTGCACAGAATTATGCTAAGGATTGCCATTGACTTTCCTTATGAACTTAAGCCCCTCAATTTCTACATACTTCAGCCTCCTCATTGGTTGGATCCAGTCAGTGTTTTTCGTACGATATACAGTCATATCCTACTGGTGGATTGTCAAATCAATTTAGCAGGTCACTACCGTTTTTTTGTTTTGTTTTGTTTTGTTTTGTTTGAAATTGGAGTCTCGCTCCTTTGCCCAGGCTGGAGTGCAATGGTGCAATCTCATCTCACTGCAACCTCCGCCTCCCAGATTCAAGCAATTCTCCTGCCTCAGCCTCCCAAGTGGCTGGGATTACAGGCGTGCGCCACTATGCCCGGCTAATTTTTTATATTTAATTATTAGAGATGGGGTTTCACCGTGTTGCCCAGGCTGATCATGAACTCCTGAACTCAGGAAATCTGCCCACCTCGGTCTCCCAAAGTTCTGGGATTACAGGCATGAGCCACCGCGCCTGGCCAGCATTTTTTAAATGATATAAAATAGCATTGAAAATACCAGAATGTGGCCAGGTGCGATGGCTCACACCTGTAAAATCCTAACACTTTAGGAGGCCGAGGCGGGCAGATTGCCTGACCTCAGGCGTTCAAGACCACCCTGGGCAACATGGTGAAATCCCGTCTGTACTAAAAATACAAAAATTAGCCTGGCATGGTGGTATGTGCCTATAATCCCGGGTACTTGGGAGGCTGAGGCCGGAGGATTGCTTGAACCATGGAGGCGGAGGTTGCAGTGAGCTGAGACCGTGCCACTGCACTCCAGCCTGGGCGACAGCATGAGACTCCCATCAGCAAAAAAAAAAAAAAAAATCAGAGTGCATCACACAAAATTAAGGTAGCTAATGTTTTGTGAAACTTTGTGAGTACTGGATTGTCATTTTTAATGTAACCCTAAATGTTTTGGGGGGAAGAAAAAGTTGGCTCTTAATAAGTATTCAGGGAGAATGAATTTGAAGGATGTGGAGAAAAGTGGAATAGCCAATTTAAAATAGGAATACTCCCAAGTCCCCTGTTATGGGTGTGCCAATCTATTGTTTATCCCAGAAATATTGTGTATCTGTTTCATGTGTTTTACAGATAACAAGTCTCATTTTAATCAATACTGTTGCATTTCCTGGTCTATATAATTCAAGTTTCACACACTAGCCAACTTACATTAGAGAAATATTGCTTTTTTAATGTGGGCAAATAAATATATTCAATATGAATCCCTTAACAAAATGACCTTATTATTCTACCTCTGGGTAAAATCTAACCAAGCATGAGTCTTATGATTAGGAAAGAAATTTGCTCTGTGGGTGCTTCAGACAGTTTTACAACCAATAAAGATGTGAGATTTGTGGGAGAAAAACTATCTGCATGTCTCCAATCTGAAGAGAGCAAAGATCTGTCATTTGACAAACCTTATTTTTCTGAGCATCAACAGTCAGTGGCACCATAAAAATTAAAAACCTGATAATACCACCAATGTAGTACTCTTTAAAAACATGTCATCTTACTAAGCAATCAACCTGATTGAATATTTTAAAATGAGTAAGTAGATAAATATCTTACCTGAAAGATAGCTTCATTAAATAAAGTAACTCCTGAGAAGATTTCTGTGGCTTTTAATATCCTATTTAACAGATTTCTTATAACCATATCAGCAAAGCCACTCTCCAGCTCTGGACTATGATCAGAAGGTAGGAAGAAGTGTTATAGGGTAATGAGCAATAATAAGGCCACCAAATATAATCCCATTATAATGGCATTCTACCCACTTGTAAAAGTTTATTCACCACTACAAATTACTAAACCTAAACAATTAAAGAAAGAAATCTTAGTCTTTAAGAAAAGAGGATTGTAAAGTGAGCCAGACATTCCAATCATAGCTAAAATAATGTAAAATAATGTACTTTTCAACCTGACGGCTTAATATAATTAAGTAAATTTTAGGATAGGTTCTAAAAAACCTTGAGAGGCATTTTGTTGTTGTTGTTGTTGTTGTTGTTGTTAATTTGCCTTAAAGTTAAATGTACATTGACCTTTGGTATTTCTTGGAAAAACCTATTACTGAACCTAGTACAGAATGTGAATCATTTCATGCCTGAAATACAAGATTGATGTTTACAGGGCAGTTGTCCAGAATCTCGCTGAATTGGAAAGTATTTCACTCTTCATCACTGTAAGTCCTTTTAACTTTACGAATGTGTTCTTTAAAACGTAAACCATTTTGGTGCACAGGAAACCCACTCAAAATTAAATTTTAAAACGCTCTCAAGAATTCTGTGGAACATTTATGGTTTTATAACTGACAATTTCTAGCAAAAGTATATTTAATATCTTGCAAAATATTTTCAGAGATAGCTTATCCAAAATATGTAATACATATGAGAGAATAGCACTGTCGAAATGCTTGAAAACATAGAAAGCATTATTGCCTTCATTTTCC